TGTACACAGTATTCTGCCTGCGGGTCAGAAGAGGGCACCAGATCTCATTACAGATGGTTGTGAGCCACCATGTGGTTGCTGGGAATTGAACTCAGGACCTCTGGGAGAACAACCAGTGCTCTTAACCTCTGAGCCATCTCTCCAGCCCTATTCATTTGTTTTTTATATCATTATAGACTAGGGTTTTTTTTTTCTCCCCCTCGATTCTAGTATGATCTAATTGTGTACAATTATTATTTTTACTTGTTCTTTTTTTTGTTTTGTTTTTTAGAGACAGGGTTTCTCTTATGTAGTTTTGGTGCTTGACCTGGGTCTCACTATGTAGACCAGGCTGGCCTCAAACTCACAGAGATCCGCCTGCCTCTGACTCCTGAGTACTGGGATTAAAGGTGTGCGCCACCACTGCCCGGCTTACTTGTTCTTTTAAAAGTTCATTTTCAACATGTAGACAAAATCACTCAGATATATAGGTCTGAAGTTTTACATGTGCAGATTATGTAATTGCAATCAAGGTGTAGGTCAGTACATGCAAGCATGCTCGAGTGCACACGCACCACACACACACAAACACACATACACACACACACACACACACACACATTAAATATCCCCTCATTCTTTGTTTTTATGCTGTACCTGTATTCCCTTGGTAATAGCTAATCTGGATTCTGAACCTAGTTTGCTTCTTCTAAAGTAAGTGAATGACATCACATAGTGTATGTGTGTGTAGTCACATATTCACTTTAGTTTCTCAAGTTATTTATGTCCAGAGTTTCCATGTATTTCTGATACTATACTGTATAGATGGATTTATCTATTCCTCTGTCAAGGCACATTTGTTTTTAGCTTTAGATTCTTAAGTGAAACTGGTATGAACATTTCTGTACAGGTTTTTGTCTTTAGTTTTTTCATTTTACCTTAGTAAAGAACTACAAGTTGGGGGTAAGAGGAATCTGTGGTTATAGTTCAGTGGTAGAGTACCTGCTTAGCATGTGTGAGGCCCTGGCTTTGGGTCCCAACACTAGAGAAAAACAACAGCAAGTGAGAATGGGATTGTGGCATCCTATAGTGAATGTAAGCTTATAAAAATCTGCCAGGCTTTACCAAAGTGGCTGTGCCATTGAGTTTTCAGACCCGCAGTGGATGAGAGCTTCATTACTCTGATCCTCGTCAGTGTTTTTAAGGACAGCCTGGTAGGTGATATGGTATCTTTTGTGACTTGGGGTGTGTGTTGTGTGTGTGTGTGTGTGTGTGTGTGTGTGTGTGTGTGTGTGTGTGTTGCTGAGGACTGGTCCAGGCCTGTGCACTTTAGAGAAGTAGTCCAGCATTGAGCTGTATCTCCAGCCCTCTAGTTGTGATTTTATAGGCACTTTCATAGCACTATCTTTTCATGTGCTAGTTACTTGTGTGTCTCCTGTATAAAATGGTCGTTTAAATCTTTAACCTTTTTTTTTTTTTAAGATTATAATTAGAACATTTCTCCCTTTCCTCCTTCCAAACCTTCTCATATACTCTCCCCACTCTCCTTTAAATACTTGGCTTCTTTTTTTGCTAATTGTTATTGCATGCATATATGTATAATTTATACACACATATATTCCTAAATACAGCCTGCTCTGTCCATATAATGTTACTTGCCTGTATGTTTTCAGGGCTGGCTGTTTGGCACTGGACAAATGATTGATGTGTTGTTCTCTGGGGAATACCACATCTCCGGCTCCCAGTTTTGCTCAGTTGTCTGTAGTTCCTTTTGTCTATTTTTTTTAAACATGGTTTTTAATCTTAGTGTGGGGTGCTATGAATAATATTATAGACTGGGCTACATAAACACTATAAACTTGGATGTTTCTGGAGGCTAGAAAGTCAAGTATAGGGTTCCATTATGGTTAGGAGGGCCTTACAGTTTTGCAAAGACCCTGAGTCCTCAGAGGCCAGAGCAAGCTCTCTCTGAGTCACCTCCTGGGAGCACTAATCCCTTGGTAAGGGTGCTACCCTCACAACCTAATTACTTGCCTAAGGCCTTGCCTAATGTTAACATTAGGATTAGATTTTTTTTTTTTTTGTTTT